ATAGTACCACTCTAGTTATATACCACTCTAGTTATAGTACCACTCTAGTTATATACCACTCTAGTTATAGTACCACTCTAGTTATATACCACTCTAGTTATATACCACTCTAGTTATATACCACTCTAGTTATAGTACCACTCTAGTTATATACCACTCTAGTTATAGTACCACTCTAGTTATATACCACTCTAGTTATAGTACCACTCTAGTTATATACAACTCTAATTGTATACCATTCTAGTTATATACCACTCTATTTATATACCACTCTAGTTATAGGAGTGGTATATAACTAGAGTGGTATAGTTATATCCCACTCTAGTTATATACCACTCTAGTTATAGTACCACTCTAGTTATATACAACTCTAATTGTATACCATTCTAGTTATATACCACTCTAGTTATATACCACTCTAGTTATAGTACCACTCTAGTTATATACAACTCTAATTGTATACCATTCTAGTTATATACCACTCTAGTTATAGTGCCTCAAATGCTTGAGAAAGGTTGAACACATACGTCACGTCCAACAACTTTTGTTGGAATTGAATAATGAATCGTTACTTCTTTCTCTTGAATAATCAAGTCAAGAGTTTGTATGATTTTACTTGTTAATATTTATTTAATTACACGAAGCTGACATAAATTCTCCCTGCAAATGATGTCACAGACTAATATTTATAAAAATCTGACAAAGTTTGATACTTCGTAATTTTTTTTTTATGAATTAGGAATGGGACAAATTGAAAGGAAAGTACAATCCAAGAATTCCAGGATATTGGACTTTGTCTAAACAGAGGTTTAGAAACACTCATCGTAAACTAGAAATGCTTGGCAAGATCGTAAGGCTTCAAAGTAGAAGAGGATACCGAAAGTATAAGATATGCTGTAATTCTGGTACACAGTTCAATTTACTATTATATATATATCTTCGTTTCGCAAGTCTGAACCCTTGTTTATCCCCCTTTCTTTTCATGTATACATTACATCTTATACGTTATGTAATATTTCAAGGAAGGTTTCACTCTGAGTTATTTCTAATAACATAATACATTGTTATGGAAGACCAAATGACAATCAATATTATTCTCCTCTAGTCACCAGTTTCTCTGCCACGAAATGAAGTCAGAAAAATAAAATCCTTGCAAAAGAGATTCTTGACATTTCATAAGAATATCTTCTGAGATTTCACACATTAAAAATATCATAAGAAATATAAATATTCAAAATTGGTTAACCATTGTTTTACACATTAGTATATAAATAAATATGTTAGTGTTGCCTGCCTGATATAGTGAGTTTGTTTTACAGAAATACGTCAATTAACCAACTCATAAAAAATCATTCGGACTTATTTCGACAAACTGTCACAAGGAATATTAGTCTAGAAAGTGTTACATAAGGACTTGAGCTTAGACTTATTCATAAAGAACGCGAATATTCAATACAATATATATATCGTTCTGTCTTTGGTTTGTAATAGCAATAAGAACCAAATCATTTAAATATATTGGTTCCTATATGTTTTTATTGATTACGTTCTGTAAAGGTTTGCACTTGCATGTATATAAACCATCAGTACAGTGTTCAATCTCAACTAGGGTTTTAAGACAATAAATGGCCTGATGTAATTTATTTTAGGTATTTCATATAGAACAAGTCAAATTAATAGACTACTGATTGAAATGTTTGTTTGTTTGTTTTGAATTTCGTGCAAAGCTACACGAGGGCTATCGGGGCTAGCCGTCCCTAATTTAGCAGGGTAAGACTAG